AGAGAGAGAGAGAGAGAGAGAGAGAGAGAGAGAGAGAGAGAGAGAGATTGAGATTATTTAAGAATCAAGCAAAGGGTGAAAGGGGAAAAGGACAAGAATACAGCCCTGAGCGGTGCCAGCACTTAAGGAGACAGAGAAAAAGAAGATAAAGAACAAACTGAATGGGCGTGGTCAGTGCTAGAAGCACCTAGAGAGAGCAGGATGTTAGAAAAAGTCAGGACAAGGAGAGTTTGGGAGAGAGATAGTCAGAATAGCCAAATAAGACACAACAGTCGATAAGATGGAGCAAAATCACTGGACATGGCACTTCTGACTTTGGCAACTTGTGCCAGCGTGGTGGGAGGAACATACTTCAGAGAACTGAGTACTAATACAAGGTGAATCTGAAGCTGTGGGAGCAACCAGGGACAGTTCTGAGGAAGAAGCCTTCAGAGCCTCCAACTGGTCTTTGCAGAGCCGGTAGTAAAAAGTCAGCATGGAGCTATGATCAATCATTAAGAAATAGTCCTGGGCGTTAGGAAGGTCCCAGAGTTGATGGGCTTTTATGGGTCTGTGGATACTTGGGAAATAAACCTACTCTGCCATGATACCACCCACTTTATCTTTAAGCTCATACAGAAGGGAGATGAACATTCTTGTCTCTGTTCATGCCTTTCGGGCCTGCTTGGGACCAAAGGGATTGCTATGGACTTGAATGGAAACCACCCTACATTACTGTGCTTCAACTGGTCCCACTTTCATCCCTGAAAAAACATCCTCATCTTACAGAAATGCCATTATTATGCTTCACAAGTGCAAAATCACAATGATACAAGCTTGAGTGAGTCTCTTCCCTCTGGATCTCAGTTGCAAAGACTGTGAGGTAGGTTGACCTCGAAGTCCACCCCTCAGCTCAGCATGCAAGTTAAAAAAGAAATAAAGCCAGTCCAAAACACACAGTGTATATTCTGAGAGTAAGAGATCTGTCCAAGGTTGCACCATGGACTTTTTAACATTTTCAGTGAGGATTATGAGGCCCTTGGCTTTGGCCTTGTGAATTTCAGGATGCCATTGATGGTTTTCAGAACTTCCTAGTTTATAATGGGAATTTTATGCAAGTATGCTAAAGAAAAGACATGTTTTTGAAAGATCTGACGATCCCCACAATCTTTTCAGATAAAACAAGAGGTTGCCATAATCTTTTGTTGAGGAAGAAAATTCTACACATTCAGTAAATTCTTAATGCGCTGACTTGAGCGCATAGAAAACAGTCCTGATTTGAACTCACAGATAGAACCACGGGAAGTCTAAGCAAGATTTGCAGAAGCAGAAAGGTCACACAGCAGCCTCATAGCTTTCCCTGAGCAAGATTGTCATTCGGGTAGGGGAAGAGCCAACCAGAACCATGATAACATACACCCTGAGCCAGCCCGGAGGAGGCTACGAACGCGGAGCTCCAGCCATACCTGTCAGCATGCCTTCATCTACCACACAGCTGCCATCAATCAGAATGGCATCACATGGCATTTGCACTCTGCTCCCTGTCAAAATTAATAAATCTCCAGGCACCAGGAGGCGGGATTCCAGGTCTTGGGCTCCAGCTGAAAGTGTGAGCAGACAGTGAGGTTATGTTCCCGCAGTCAACAATCCCACCACTCCATGCTGTGGATTCTCAGAGAAGGAGCTAAAACATGTAAAAAGAGAGACTAGTCCTCAGCATTGGCTCAAACTCTGAAGACAAAAAGAAGGGAGGAAACAGACTACATGGAATAAAGCTCCCAGAGTGGTAACGACAAAAAAAGCCAAGGAAAAATAATGACAGACTCAGAAAACATATTTGATGCTTATAGACAAAAGACTAATATTTTTCATATACAAAGACATCTTCAAGCAAGAGATGTACAGCAACTGTGTGATAAATTGCCAGATACTAACAGTTCACATGCACACACAAGTTACATGCTCAAGATTTGAAAAGCTGCTTGTTTTATTCATTCCTTCTTCTTCCCTCCCTTCCTTCCCGGTTACCTGCCTGGATGCCCGAACTTCTTTCTTCCCTTATTCAGTCTCAAAAAGGTCATGGGGCTGAGCATATAGGCTGCCGTGAGGGCTAGGTTTAATTGTCACCTTAACAGAATCTGGGATCATCTGGGGAGACGATCTCAACAAGGGACTGTCTATTAAGTTAGCCTATGGAAGTCTCTGAGGAGGGTAGCCTCAGACAGGCTAGTATGGGTGAGAAGACCCACTGTGGTGGTTAGCATGAGATGCCCCCCATCTTCTCAAACATTTAAATGCATGGTCCCCAGTTGGTGGCCCTGTCTGGGAGGCTTCCGGACTGTGGTCTTGAGGGGGAAGTATGTCATGGGGAAGGGTTTTGAGAGTGGAAAAACTCGGTGCCATGTTGAGTTTGCTCTTGTTGCTTTCTGTTGGCAGTTAGAGACATGAGTTCTCAGCTCTTCCTGCCACCATGCCTGCCCAGTGCTTTACATCCCCACTACGATGGTGACAAATTCTTAACCTTCTAGAAGTCTAAGCCCAAATAGACCCTCCCTTCTCTAAGTTGCCTTGGTCATGGTGATTATACCACAGCAGTAGAAAAGTGACTAAGACCCCCACCTTGAATGTGGGTGGCACCCTTTCATGGGCTGGGACCTGTACTGAATGAGGGGGAGAGGGAGAGCTGTGCACTAGCAAACATTAATTCACTGCCCTCTGCTCTCGACTGTGGATGCAATGGGACTAGCTGCTTCATGGTCCTGCCACATTGACTTCTCTATCATGAAGACTATGTATGAGTTAATCTTCCGTGGCTGTGATAAAAACACTATGACCAAGGCAACTTATTGAAGTAATGTCTAATTGGGTGCTGATGGTTCCAGAGGGATAAAAGTCCTTCACCATCGTGGTAAGGATGCACAGCAGCAAGCAGACCTGATTGCCAGAACAGCAGACCAAGAGCTTGCTCACATCTAGAGCCATACACAGGAAGCAGAGAGCACATTAGGGGTGGCACAAGGCTTTGAAACCTCAAAGACCTCCCCCAGTAGCACACCTCTGAGACCACACCCACACCTCCTCATTCTTCTCAAACAGTTCCACCAACTGGGGACCAAGTATTCAAACATCTAGGTCTATGGGGAGGAGGAGAATATTTTCATGCAAACCACCACAGACCACAACCTGGAACTGTGTGCCAAATAACCCCTTCCTCCTGCAAGGTGCTTTGGCCAGGGTACTTCATCACAGTGACTGGAAATGTGTCTATGCACATGGCTGGGAAGATGGCTTACAGGCTACCTATGGTGTTGGAGTCTAGGTGGGAAGAAAGGTCATGTGTGTGTCCTTGGCTCTGACCAACAGAACCCAGGTAGGCACCATACAACCATAGCAGTGGTACCCTGCTATGGAATGTTGGGGTCTGGGCAGGTGATGAAGGTGTTTACATGGGAGCGAGACTGGGCATAGTGAAAGCATCAACAATGCTGGAAGATTGGTCACACCCAGGCTGAACCAATACCATAAGCAGATCGACTGAAGTCAGTGAGAGCCAGGTTTCTCATAGAGAAAAAGAAAGAAAGGTGAAGTACAAAGGACATAAGCCTTGAAAAGACCCTATGACTTGGAGTTGGGGACATCATAAAGTCATGTGCAAATATGTAGGAATATCTATACATTATATGACTCTGGTCAGTGTGTTAACATATACTCTAACATCCTTCTGAGGAAGCCTAAGGGCAATGATTCCCTAATAAGGACAAGCACACTACACAACCAAATACTGAGTTCTCAATTCCAGCCACAGCACCACACACCCAAAATGAAATCATGAAGACGTCTTAAAGAAAAAGCCGATTACAACCTGGCAAATATAAATTATAAGCTGGAGAAACACTGTGCCATTAAATAGGAAAATATTCAAACAATGAAGACAGACCAAAAAGATATCAAAAGCCACATAAAGGGGCTGGCTGCCTAAATCTGAAAGATTTTAACAAAGTAAATAATAATAAAGAATAAAGAATAATAAAGCCATTGAGTAAATAGGGCTTCATGAATCCATAATGGCATAGGTTAGTGGGTATATAAGTAAAAAGAAAAATAGATTTTTCCTTGCAGCAAGATGGCAATTAAATAATTAAAAAGTTCAAATTAGAAAATCCTTATTTATCAAGTATAAAAGCAATAATTAAGTCAGGAAACATCAGTAGATAATAAAACTAGTGGGTGAAACTTTGATGGAGATAGTCTATTCATATAGTCTGAAAATATTTCTCAACAATATAACTATTAATTACAAAGGAAAAAACAGCATACTTTTAAAAAAAGAGCTGGCAGACACCATATAATTAAGTAACTTAACATCATTAGTAAAGGAACAAATTTAAATTATGTACATCTTGATAAGAAGGGACACACACAGACACACACACACACACACACACACACACACACACACACACACACACACATCATATCTGTGATTTGCCGAATCCAAACATAGTGACAATTTATAAAATACCCAGAATGGGAGAATATGGATCATAGAAGAACCAACTGAAAAATACTGAAGATGATGGCAAATAACACCATTTGTGGTCCTGGATCCCTATCATATAGAGAACATTACTGAGAAAACACAACAAAGAGGAGACCATGTTAGCAAGTGTCAGCTTCCTGAGGACACTGCAGTTTCTTCAGGAGAATGTCCTGGTCTCTAAAGAATGCACAGTAAACTATGTTGAAATTGTGGAGCCACATGTCAACTACTTATTTCTTTTCTCTTTTGTCTATGTGTATGTGTGGTATATGTACATGTGTACGCATGTTTTCATGTGGGTGGGCAGATACGTGTGCAAATGTGTGATTGTGCGTGTGCACACTCCAGGCTGACATCAAGTGTCATTCTCCATCACCTTTGACTTTTTTTTTTTTTTTTTTTTGAGGCCAGGTCTCTTGCTGAATCTAGAGCTGACGATTCTGACTAGCTAGTTGGTCCCAGAGATCCCCTCTTTCTGCTTCCTGAGCACTAGAATTTCAGGTGGCTTCCACATGTGCCAGATTTTACATGGGTTCTGAAGAGCAGGATCCTCATCTTCACAGTTGCTTAGCAACTGCTGTATTAACTGAGTCATCTCTATGATCTCAGGAACTTGTTTTTAAGTCATTCTGGAAAATAGGAATGGTCTCTCTTTACAATGTCTCTGAAGAAAAAGAGAAGGGAGGCAGATATGCATGAGATAACACTGATTACCTCTCTGACTAGAAAATCAAGTAATCTGACAGCATATTCTGTTGGCACTGTGGTGAGTAAATGGGCACTCTCACATTGCTAGCTAAATGCAAGCTGGCACAATCTCTACTGAATAAAATTTGGCAATATTTATCTAGCAAAAGTGTGCATGCCTTTATTCTCTAATCTAGAAATTTGGCATCTCAAAATCTATACCAAAGATACACTCATGAAAATATGAAGGGGCATACATAGAAACTCTTTATTACAGTGTTACTTATGATGGTGTAAGACTGGGAAAACATTCAATAGAAGACTGACTGAATTAATAATGGTTCCTCCACATGAGAAGACTGTGAATCATAAGGAATGAAGAATGTATATATACCTGTTATCCATGGAATCATAGGTGTGTACAGAATAGTTAAATTTGGTATACCTTTGTTCATAAAAACACACCAGTGTAATTATGTAATCTATTTTGCATGCATAATATAAGCCATTGCTTTTCATATAATTTGCTTATATTTCTAATTGTAAGAATAAATTCAAAAATAACAAAAGTAGCTATGATAAACAAGGCAAAGGGAAGAGAAAGAAGTTGAACCAGCCTGAATATCTTCTATCTCATGAATTTAAAATTTAAAACATGGTGATATTTTTAGAGTATCTATGTAAAATAAAAGTAAATTTGAAAAGCTGACGCTAAAAACCTAAAACAAATGAGTGAAATGAATCAATTACATTGTTGGCAGAATCATGCGGAGAACTATTTTGAATGATATTGAAGCATAATTTATTAAATTGAATTGTGTGTTTGGCTCTGTTTCTAATGAGCTATCACAATTGAAGTGGGGAACTCTTCAAAACATTGTAAACTGTTTCTCAGAATTACTTCATTGCTGAGAATGTCAGCTTATTATTTTGAGATGATTGTATATGGTAGGATAAAACAAATGAACCATTCTTTGCTGTCACTGAGAACTGGAGTTTTCAGTATGAAAGGGAAACACAAGTACAATCCTCAAAGTAAAAGAAAACATTTATAGTTCTAAACTCGAGTTGTGAGTGTCATCAAGAACTCATACTTTACTCTAAACTCTTCACTAGGTATGCTTTGGAAAAATGCCTATGAGCAAAGGCTTACATTGTAAGAATGAGATACCGAACACTCTGGCTGAGCACTCTCAGTAAATGCATGCTGGGGATAAGTAGAGAATGAACCAATATTTACTTTTTATAATATTTATAATAGCATCGAAACTCTGAAATACTTAAGAATAAATCTGAGAAAGAATGTGTAAGGTTCACACACTAACAACTGCAAATTGCCTAAGAGGGGAATCTAAGGAGACCTAAAGAAATCTACATCTCTGCAGAAAATATCCAGAGCTGTAAATAGGTTCATTTTCTACCATTGACCTATAGACTTAACACAACACCAATCAAAATCTCATCACAGTTTAAAGAAATAAACAATTAAACAAATTGTTTTCCAAGTCATTTTGAAAAGAAGAGTCTGTATTTGTTACTATATCTTCTCATTTCTATAACAAAATATTTGACAATAATCAACTTGAGGAAGAGTTTAAGAGTCCAAGAAAATACAGTCCAACATGAAGAGGAACTCATGGTGATGGGAGCCAGAGACAGCTGGTCACAGTACATCCACAGTCAGGAAGCAAAGAGATGAATACTGGTGTTCAGCTGGCTTGCTCCTCTTTATTCAGCTTAGGACCCCAGCCTGTGGAACAGTGCCACCCATGGCTAAGGTTGGACGACACACCTCAATTAACTTATCAAGATAATCTTTCACAGACATGCTCAAAGACTAAATTAATGAGATAATCCCTTACAGACTTGACACACGGGTGACTTTAGATCTTGTCAAGTTGACAATAATAGTAATCATCACAACCCATCTCTTATCAACTTGTCACTCCAACACATGATTTTAAATCATAACACTCCACTCTTATCACTTAGAAGTTTCCTTTTTAGCTCATAATGTGATATACTTCCAGTTTGTCTCTAAAAGTCCCCCAAGTCTTTAACAATTTAACAATTCCAATGCCATTCAAAAGCCCATAGTTCAAGTCTTTCTAAAGCATAAGACAAACTCGTGACTGTGAACCTTTAAAACATTAATTTTTTAGTTACAAGTTGCATACCTTTAGCATTTAATGTCACACCATAAACCAGTGGTTCGCAACCTTCCTAATTCTGTGACCCCCTTAATATAGTTCCTCATGTGGTGGTGACCCCCAACCATAAAATTATCTCATTGCTACTTCATAATTGTAATTTTGCTACTGTTATGATTTTTAATGTAAATATATGGTATTCAGGATATCTGATATGTGACCCCTGTGAAAAAGTCATTCGAATCCCAAATGGGTCATGACCCACAGGTTGGGAACCACTGCCATAAACATTCAAATTCCAAAGAGAAGAATGGGGCCTTAGGAAGGAATGCTTAAAGCAATGCATGATCTAAATGCAGCAGAACAAATGCCAAATCCTACAGCTCCATATGCAGCATCTGGGGCTCATAATGTAATCATATGGGCTCCACAGGGCTTGAGTAACCCCGCTCCTCCACTTCTGTCACCTATAGCATACACAGCCTCTTTCTTAGGTCAGCTCTACTCCACACCTGCAACTTTCCCCATCAGATGAACCATGGGGAACTTTTAATTAGGCAGTTGATTTATAGGAGCAGGGATTCCTGTTCCCTGCATCCTCAATTTCGACTCTCTTTTTTCAAATAAGCCATCATTTCAAGCTTTAACCTTTGAGAAATGGGGTCTTGCCACCAGGGTACATTTCTTATTACCCCAATGTAGAACAAAATACTTCTCTTTAATAATTACAGCCTCTTTTTCAGTACGTACTGTGGCTCCAAAGTTCAATTTGGTCAAGCTCTCTGCCTCCCCAACTAACTGCACATTTTCACATTCTTCTGCCCAAATTTCTGCTCCTTTTCACTGTAGACCTGGATAAGTTCAGGAAAGGGTAGCCATGAAACAGCCAATGAATACTTTACTGTCGATAAATACCCTCCAACTAACTAATTAATCCATTATGTTTGAATTCAATTTCACTCAAGTTCTCCAGACATGGGCAAAATGAAACAAGATTCTTGACCAAAATATCACATGAATGACCACAGCCCAATTTCTGATGGAGTCCTAGTTCCTCTCTGAAACCTCATGAGCACAGGCAACTACTGTCTGTTTCTCTCATCTTTTCTTGTCTTCTAGGTTTCCATCAGAATGGCACATTAAGCTCTGTTTCCAACATGCTAGGACTTTTCTCCCTGAAAGTACCAGACTCTTCCATATTGTAGGCACAAAATAATCTCAAAGGCCTAAGACTGACATGGTCATGTTATCAGAGCAACATCACCTTGCGGTCCTAATTTTCTGTATTATTTACTTTTCTCCTTGTTGTGATAAACAACTCAAAGGGGAAAGATTTATTTCAGCTTACAGGTTGAGAGAATACAGTCCAACCATGAAAGAAGTCTGGCAGCTTGAGACAGCTGGCCACATTTCATCTAGTCAGAAGGAGAAAGAAGCAGAATACTAGTGTTCAGTTTGTTTTCTCCTTTTTACTCAGTCTGGGGCCTCAGAGTCATGCCACCCACTGTCCAAGTGAGTCATCTCACCCCGGTTAGCATAATAAAGATAATTGTCCACAGGCATACTGAGAGGCTAGCTTGATCTTCATAATTACTCATAGGTGCATCCAGAAGTTCATCTCCATGGTGATTCTAGACCATTCCAAATTAACAATCCATATTAACCCTGGAGGGGGGCATGATACATCAAAGTAGCACTGAAAGAGAATTAAACTGAAGCACTAACATGACTTATTCAGATCATATTATCAATGACATCATGTGGCCGTGGCAGGACAGTGAGAGAACAAAACATGGAGTTCACAAAATGGTCCACCTTCATAGACAACAGGTGCTTAGCAAAGATCTATAGGCAACATGCTAGTACAGAATCAATCTTCTTAAACAACTGGCATCAGAGTACTTAAATACCTGATGGAGAAAAGTGAACTTCAGTCTAAAACAGATGCAAAGCAGATGGTGAAAACACAATGTAGAACATAAGCTTAAAACTATATAGAGAAGCTCAGTGACCTTAAAATTTGCAAAGATGCCTTAGAAATTAGACTAGAAATATAATCCTTAAAGGAAGAGGCTCATTAGCTGGACTTTAAAATGTAAAAGCATTTGCCCTTTAAAAGATGCTGTGAAGAAAACGATAAGATATATCATAGACTGAGAGAAGATGTCTGATAACATTTAATAATATGACAATCTGCTTAACAAAAGACACAAATTGATACTTCAAAAAAGGCATGTGAGTCACAAATAAGCCCTTGAAAAGATCTTCAGGGCCATTAACCATTGGAGAAATGCAAATTAAAGTAATAAGATACTTTATTTTATTCCATAATTTAAAGTGGCTAAAATTACATAGATTGGCCACACTGAGTGGGGACAAGAATGTGGAACTGAGACTGTCATACACAGCAGGTAGGAATGGAAATGCTACAATCATTTTGGAAAACAATTCACTAGTTTCCTAAAATGTTGAGCATCTACCCCGGGGTTAACTGCTCTGTAACTAGGTACATACAAGGGATGATAGAGTATGCCTATGAAAAAACCCACGCCTGACTGTTCACAGCATTGTGGTTTGTAACAAAAAAAAGTGAGATAACTCAAATATCATCCACAGGTGAATTAAACGAATGTATGTATACCCATCTAATGGCATACCTTAGGAAATAAAAAAGAATGTACGATGGATACTCTTAACAAAAGCAGATGAATCGTTGTGAACTTTGTTCTCCTCTTGCCAAACTAACCCAAAATATATGATAAAAGACAAAAGAATGTGTTTTACGTACAATTCTAAATAGGGATGTTAACCTATAGCAACAGAATGCAGATAAATGACTACTGTGTATGAGGGAGGCAAAGGGGGAGGAAGGACAAATGGACTCAAGACAACTGTAGGCAACAAGTCGTCCTGTCTGCTTGATGATGTCCATACTTTTGTGAGTATACACACATGTCAAAATCTACTGAATTGTGTACCTTACAGATATATTTGGTTTGCCATGCAAATTCAACCTCTATGAAATGGGTTTCCTTCTTATGGTGAAAAGATCTCAGATTCCTCTTTCTTATAAGCAGATGTATGAGAACAATGTACATGCAGATGAGTTGGTGGGAACAATCAGAAAACAGAAACCAAGTCACTTTCTGATTGCCTGTGGATATAACATGTAGGTATAAAATAGCGTAACTTACCTTTTCTCTCACATACAGAGACTGTGATGCTATTATGTGATTCAACAAGATGGTGCAGTTTTACAGACTGCTGCAAAGAGAAGGAAAACAGACAACATTTATCTGTGTAAGTGTAGACCCCAGTTATTGCTCAGCATGGAGCTAGCCCTCTGTAAACATGAGAGGGCTTTAGGCTGCCAGCTGGAGATGCTGGGTAGGAACAGAGTCTTCCCACTGGTGTTTTTTTTTTTTTTTTTTTTTTTTTTTTTTTTTTTTTGAGACAGGGTTTCTCTGTGTAGCTTTGCGCCTTTCCTGGAGCTCACTTGGTAGCCCAGGCTGGCCTCGAACTCACAGAGATCCACCTGGCTCTGCCTCCCGAGTGCTGGGATTAAAGGCGTGCGCCACCAACGCCCGGCTGGTGTTTTTTTTTTGTGTGTGTGTGATAAATGAACTACATTGAGAGTTAATCAAGACAAAAAGAAAAAAATAAATAAATGTTTTATTCCACATTTAATAAGAAAGCATTGTGTGAATGACCTTATGACTGATTAAGTTTTCCAATCATTTCAGGTTTTCATTTTTCATCCTACTATTATTATTTGAGACACTTCCTAAGGGGACAGGCTTACAAGGCTCCACCTCTCCCAGGAGGATTGTGGGGAGTTAGTGGTGTGCTGGGAAAGAGAGTATAGTTTTCTTCAGTGGTACAGTCACTGGTAAGTTGACCATGCTCCAGAAAATAACTCCTAACCCATGCTTATGCAGGCAAGCCTAAGTGAAGTCAGGGGTCACACACACACACACCATCATCAGAGCAGAGGAGGGCCTTGTTGGATGAAGGGTTTCAGTGGGATGGGGAAGAATGAGAGAAAGCAATAGGGGAGAGAGATTACAATGACCAGAATCACATACATATGGAAAATTTTTAAAAGACACACTCTCTGAATTATTTTTAAATCTGATAACTATGCCCTAAGAATGTTTAGTACAGTAGGATAAGGCCAAAAAGTGTTACACTACTAAGTCATCCTTTCATTCATGTGGGCATTCACTCAACCAACATTTATTAAGCAGTCTTTTATATTCCTAAGGCTATGTTAAGAAACAAGATAGAATGGAAAACAACAGAAATATGACTCTTATTGTCAAATTTACTTAAAGATATATATTCAAAATATGTATTTAAATATATTTGCAGATCTTCGCCATATAGTCAAATAGATAAATATATTTACAAATAATAAGCTATACACACGTTTCTATGTAATGTAGGTCACTACAGATGTAAAGTATGGAAAACCATATGTATAAAGACTCTCACTGCAGCTTTGCTTTAGTAGCAGAAGACTAAAAACCACCTAAGACTCTATCAGTTGCCAAAATAGTCAGCACACAGTCATAAAACTACATCAGTTCTGAAGGAAGTATGTGTTAATATGGAACAATATTAAAGATATATTCGGTGAAAATGCAATTGCAAAATAGTGCATGTGGCATACTTTCGTGCTGAAAAACAGATGTGTGTGTGTGTGTGTGTGTGTGTGTGTGTGTGTGTGTGTGTGTGTGTGTGTGTAATATTGCTGAAGTGTAAAGAATATCTGGCCCCAGTAAGTCCTAAAAGTCCGGCTTGGACACTGGTGATTCTTTCCATGGAAAGGGATCCTATTTTCATTTACTGTGTTACTCTATCTTAATTTTTTTTAACATACCCATATATTGTTCCTTGTACAAGAGAAAATGACTAGCTAAGTTTAAATGTCTTTTTTTTTAAATTTCACTTCAGATTACCTATAGGCTTTAGGATTATATTGATGCCCTTAACAAAAGTTGTTTAGATGGAAGCATGAAAGGAGAAATCGTGTCAGCATGTAAAGAGTGAGAGAAAGGTGTTCAGATCATGAGCATGTGCATAAAGAGCTGAGATTTTTATTAAGGAAAGAAGGAAGCTACAGCAGGTAACTGAAGATGGGTGCAGAGTATGGAGAAAATGGTCCTTTGTTGGAGGTTTGTGTTTAAGTCTGACGAAGCTGGAGAATGTTAAACACAGATAAACTCTTGGGAAGGTGCAGAGAGGAGAGTCATCTGTGGATTGCATGAACACCCCCAAAAAGGTAAGAGCAGGTGTCCGGGGCACAGATGATGATCTCTAAGGCATGTCCTCCACTGTGATGAGAGGGAAGGGAAGCCGGGGCTGAGGAGAATGGAGCATTTGGCAATAGATTGTAGGGAGATGAGCAAATTTCATACTAGGCTTCCATCGGCTTTGTGAAATAACTTGTGAGATTGTTTTGCTGAGAAAGCAACGATGAAAAGACAAGCGTCTCTGAAGAGGGACGGTTTGAAATGTCTTCTCATAGTGTGGGAGAACACTTTGATGAGAGGTGTATAGAAAACTTGCCAGGAAGAGGTTGGTACTTATGGATTCATAAATAATCGACTCATGTCTGTTCCACATGGTTTTCTTCCAACGGTCCCTAGACCCCCCTGTTCCCCTGCTATAAGTATAAGGAAACTGAAGTGGTGAACTAGAACTTTGGTAGATGAACACCAAACAAACAAAAAGATCAAGGACTTCATATTAACACAGGTCCCTCCATCTTCCCAAGGACTGGGATGTACAGGAAGTTCACTTCCTGTCGCCCTCTGGACAGCGGCACTTCTGCTGTGTTTTCATGAACATGATCTTGTTTCACACAGATGGGCCCATGCTATTTCAAGATTCTTGTCTAAGAGCAAGCCAGGGAAGTCAAGTGCAGGACCCAGGGGACTCACCTGTCTGAGATCGTACACGGTCAGAGCTATGGAAATAACAGACATGAGGATGATGGCCAGAGCATACTCTTTGTAATCTTCACTGAACCACAGACAGACACTGAAGAGTTGAAAGATGTAAAATGGATTTAGAACCTGTTAGCAGACATAAAGACAGGAAGACAAGAATGGCATTTGGGCTTCACACGTGGCTGTTCATTGGCTTGTTTTCCTAATCAGCACTGTGACCTAAATCACCCCACGAGATATGCTATTGTTCTTGTTCTATGTAATCAGAAGTCTCTGTGTGCTGGACAATGGGCTGAATCTTTTCATTTCTTTCCCACAATTACCTCATTAACCAGAAGTTATTACTTATCTCTATTATGAAGATAAGGACATGGAGCCTCAGATCTTGAGAAATTTGCTCAAGGTCACACAGCTATGACTGTCATGGAGCCAAAAATCTAAATCCTTAAAGCGTTCTGACCCCGGAGCACTTATTTTAATCACTGCTACACTTAGCAATCCACAAAGTTGTGCTTCGCATGTCATTGTGCTAAGCCTCAAAGTAATCGATAAAGAGTAGATGTTATCGTCCTCCGTTTATACTCCCTGGACTTGAGAAAGGTGACACACTTGGGTTTACAGAATTAAGCTACTTGGTCTGTTGTCCACTCTATGACAAAACTGCTGCCACATATAATGCCATTAAAGAACTTTTCACTGATGGGTTGATGGAAAGCAAGGCTGCATTTTTCCATAAGTGGCGAGAGAAGATGACATGGCACGCTGTAGCCACACATCTGGTTCACTGGGGGGGAGGGGAGGACAGATGTCAACATCAATGGTTGTAGTCCTGCTTGACTTAAAATATGTTGTGCCTTCCCTCAGCTTCGCTGTAGTTACTCACAGGAACAGGAATCCCAGCTTCAGGCGAGGGAGGCAGCCCACAGAACCTTTCTCAACCAATTTGCTTGGTCTTCTGTCATTCGCAAACATGTTCAGAAATATCAAGAAAGTATCTCGAATTTAGGAAGCCTTTTTAAGGCAAAGATGAATGGAGATGGAATATCAGAAAGACACAGAGGACTGCTGTATGGTTTCAAAATAATAAATCCCACAATAAAAGCACAAGAGAACATTTTTTATCTTACTAAGTGATGGTTAAGCCATTCTTTCCACCTCATTGAGATCAGAAGACCTCAGACAGGCTAAACAAATATGGTTTCCTCCCTACAGTTTTGAATGTTGAGGTAATTGCATATGTTGTCTAAGAAAAATTTTTTCCTAAAATAAATGTGATTTCACTTTCACAGAATTGAAACGGGATAGGCAGCATAGTGTTTTAAGAAAGGGGGAAACCCCAGCATTCATCTGAGTCTTCAGATAGGAAGTGGACACATGAGAGTCACAGTCTGCCTTGTAGAGTACAGTGTGCCCAAAGAGCTTGAAGGAAAAGAACACACAGCGTATCCAGAAAGCAGGGTTGGCATTCTCTTAAAGAAGCTCATAAATTGTAGTCACTTATTAACAAGTTGGATCCCCAGCTGGCCAGAGCAAAGATTCATCATTTTCTACCCAATGTCCAGGCAAAGTCCTGGAGAAATTACCTCCTTGATGAGCAATTTCCAGATAGGTGTGATTTCAACATCAATAGCATTAGGTCCACATATTAACCTCCTGCAGGGAGAGACCACAATTTACTCGGTCACAGCAATGAAAGAAATCTCACCCCCTGTACATTTAGAGAAAAGGTATACTCTATATTCCTTTTCTTATTTCCCAAGTCAATCGAAGTATCTCTTGTTACATAGCACACCCATGTGTCTCAAAGTAACTGAAGAGGATGAGGGGTCCCAGGAGCAAAAGCAGTAAACCAGATTATGTTGCTTCCATTGAACTATACTCCCTGAAGTCTAAATATTTCCCTACGTGGTACTTTTGATATGTAATATTACCTACTTTCTCCCAAATGCTTTCAGAACTCATATGATCTCAACTCTCTCTCCTCCACTGTTCCATGGAAATGGAATGGGGAGATCATGAAGGTAGAATATTATTAGTGACGGGGAAATACCATACCTATTGTTTATGCTCATATTCAGGAGTTCTGTGAGGCTGAATATTTGTTTTAATGTGAACAGAAAAGTCCTTGATTCTCAGAAAGAGCTCAACATGCAGAATTATACATCCTACTAACTGAAAATCCAGAGTTGTGTTGCTTTGATTATGCAGAGACACAGCACTTTATGAATACTTTTCCTATGGAGATTACTAACCATTCTCTGTACCTTCCATTTAGACCCTCAGATAAAACAACTTGGCAAAATGCATGGACTATCATCCTCCATTTTTTGTGTAAACACGTATAATTTTGGTAATTTCATTAAAACAAGACTCTGCTTCAGTAGGGGTAAGGGACCTACTGCGATTTCTGCATTGCTTACAAGCATGCAGGATAAAATGAGGCTGCAATGGGCACCATCTCTTCCAAAAAACAGGAATAGGTCTCTACTCCTCCACTTTTAAGATTGTGTGTGTGTACGCGCGCGCAAGAGCCTATGGAGGCCAAAAGAGGGCATTGCATCCCCTGGAGCTCAAGTTACCTGTGGTTGTGAGGAGCCCAAATTGAATGCTCAGAGCCAAACTTGGGTCATCTGGAAGAGCAGTAAGTACAGTGCCCTTGGTGGCCAAACCATCTCTGCAGCCCTTTCTTTATGATTAAGACCCAAATGAAAAAGCTATTTGCTCAAAGGCACAGGTTCTGGACAATCAAGTGCCTTCTCCCAGTCCTGTTTCTGTGCCTAGTGATTGATTTGGATTGTGGAGCTCCATACACACCTTGCATGACCTTGATCCAAATCACTATACATGCCATTATGTGGAGCTCAGTCAGTTCGCCCACTGTGTGTGCCTGTGCGTGCACATGCAATGGTGTGTGTGTGTGTGTGTGTGTGTGTGTGTGTGTGTCTCCATTTTTGTTCAAGCCATGAAATCTCTCTCGGCCTCACACTTCACATCTCTTCTGTTGAATTGGTGGTCATACCTGTTATACCCCCTGACTCCATTAAAAAAAAAATTGCTCTGAAGATAGATGAGGTCATGCACAGGACACACCTTTTCTGCTCTTACTGAATCAAGACCATGTGCTGGGCTACCTGGCTAACCAATCTCAGCCCTTTGGAGCTAGTACAGACACCGTGCATGTAGTACCTGATCTCCTGCTCTTCTGATGTTAGACCCAGTCCAAACTTTTGATGAATCTTTGCAGAACTGAGCCAGTCTTCCAGGGAGCTAAAACAATACAAAGAATCCAGTGGCAGTGATGTTTGCGAGACAATGCCTGTGTTCTTTGGAGACACTTGCTGAAGCCACTTACCCAATCTTCTGAAACTGTCCTTCTAAATTATTCCAAACATATCTTATTTTCTGCACTTTTATGTATCTCACCTACAAAAAAGAAAAAAAAAAATGTATAACAAGAGTCTCCAGTTTGAAGATCAGAGCACACAGCAACTCGAGGGCTAAAAGACATTTCTGGAAGAAGCAAAGTTAGAGATGCTCCTCAGAATTTTTTCTTTTTCTAACTTTCCATCCTGTTCTCCTCCACTACACAAACAGCATTTTGACTAGCAGTCATCGCCTGGTCAGCATGTTTCACCATACTGATAAATATGTGAATAAATGAAACCAAGTCTCCACAATTCACTACTTTGCAAACTAATGAGGAAAAAAAATTACACAATAAAAGTTGCGTTTCATAGTCCAATAGATATGCCAAAGAAATATATTTAATAAATATATAATATGATATTATATATAAATATATATAATGAAGTTAAAATGCTGCAGAAAGAGAGAAAAGACAGGTGGCTGAAGGCATCATGGAAGAGCTAGCATCAGAACTGCAATGTCAAAGGGTGGGAAGAATCTTGGTCCAATGGAGACTGAAGAGAGCAGGTCAACGGGACCGCATGCCAGTTAGTCGAAAGGCAAGAGGCAAGAGAATGGTCCTGTTTGACTGTAGAATGAAGCGTAAGGCTGGGGAGGTAAACTAAGGCTACATGATGGGCAGTCCAGATGCTAGAATAAGTTAGAGACATCCTGGCCTCGCAGACGATGGGTTTGTAGAGCAGCCTACGGAAGACTTGATGAAGAGAGCAAGGTAGCCACAAGGAGAGAGGAGCTTGTGGCAGCCAAGTGTACTCCGGGGAGCAGGGCTCCGAGGGTGTCGGCAGAGGGAAGGAAAAGAGGTGCCTCCTTGTGACCATTATTCTGATTCCCTTAAGCAATTTTTTTCATGGGATACAAATTCCAAGAACTGGAGACCTCGATAAGCACAAAGAGAAACTGTGGGGCTCCCAGTTTGCTGTGGAGCAATGGTTATCACCCCCAGAGTACTTGCTAGGGACATCTAGAGAGCTTTAAAGAATATTGCTGTTTGGGTCCCGTGGCCAAGATTTAATCTGTCTGCAGTGTGCTTTGAGCATAAATATTTTTCATTTTCCCCAGGTAATTCTAATGTGCGGCCAAAATTGAGGGGTGCCATTTAAGGCTTCCTGTTTGGCTGTTCCTCTATTTGTGTCCTTGAGAATGTCAACTAACTTTCCCTGTGCCTCAGTTTTCCCAGGAATAAACTGAAGCATTTGACCAGATTAGGTCTAAGTTCCATTCAGCTCCTTTCTGTGTAGTCTACATTTATGAACGTTATAGTCAACCATCAGGTAAATTTTAAAGCTGGGGAAAGCCTCTAACTGGTGGGTAATAAAAGTATTCAATACATTTTTGTAAAATAAGTGACTGTTATGTAAAAGCACATGTCAACTAGAAAATACAGTCTAAATCTCTAAATTCCAAAGCCTTACTGAATCATAATTCTATTCAATGATCATAGAGCTTTCTCTCTCTCTCTCTCTCTCTCTCTCTCTCTCTCTCTCTCTCTCTCTCTCTCTCTCTCTCTCTCATTGGGAGTCAAGCGAAAGTGCTAAATGTTATAATTTGTAAAAATTCCAATGAGGTTTGTTACAAAAGAAACTATTTGAAAACATGTCTATTTCAAATTGATTTTCCATACGAAATTGGAGCAAATTGCCACTGGGAAAAATCCGTCCTTCATAAGCTGTCAAACACAGTGAGCAAAGAACGTTTTTTTTTTTTTTTTTTTTTTTTTTTTTTTTTCGAGACAGGGTTTCTCTGTGTAGCTTTGCCTTTCCTGGGACTCACTTGGTAGCCCAGGCTGGCCTCGAACTCACAGAGATCCGCCTGGCTCTGCCTCCCGAGTGCTGGGATTAAAGGCGTGCGCCACCACCGCCCGGCGCAAAGAACGTTTGAACGTAACCAGTCCTGGGGCTTGTTAGCCCACACAGCCCAGGGTGGAACCTCCAGTCTCTTCCTTCACAACTTCAATTCCTTTTGAATGTCCCCTGTGGTTCTACTTAGTGCTCCTCACACAGTATCTTCAGTCGCCCTCACCTTCCTGGAGAAGGTCAGGTGTTATTATCACCTTTGCTTTGCTCCTGACAATGGTTTTGATTATGCCGCTCTAGGGACTGGAATCTTGGCTCCAGCATTTCAGGCTCTGTCCTCACAGGATATGATTCAAGCCAGCCTCAGAATAAATCTGAAAGTCCCATGACTTTAGGATTCAAAGAGCTCAAAGTGACAATTGCCTGTGTTTTTAATTCCACAAATTTGATGATCTGTGTTGGAAACGTTTTAAGGGATGAACTGTGGGTAGGAAGAGTGTCTCGACACACACTGGGTTCACATCAAACCAGATTGGAAAGCAGACACCATAATAGATAAGAAAAAAAAAATACCCACAAACCAAGCCTGCAGCAAGCGAAATGAAGAAGTTGCTGGTAAGTTTAACCTCAGGCTGTAAAATGGAATGGTCGGCGATCTTTGGACAATTTCTAAAAGTCCATGATGGACCTTTGAAGCACCTTTGAGACTGTCCCACCAGCAGCTTCTCTGCCTGGACCTTGTCTCCTTCATCACCCTCAGAATTTCTAGATGCTGGCAAAGGACAACAGGCATGGCATTGGCAGGTGAGTTTCCTTATTTGTCCCTTTTCTAGAACTTCACCCCAGGAGAAGCTAGAACACGGGGCATCTGCTGTGGGTGACTTTCAGGTTTCTGCTCGGGAGTCAGAATAGTTAGCTCCCCCACATACTGGCTCTTAACTTCTTTGGAATGTCTAAGAGTGTCTTCCTTTTTGCTGGCAGTCCTACAACATAGTCCCCCGGGCTCCTCTTCATCAATGTTTGAAAACCTGCCTCCAATTTTTTGAAGACCCTAAACGACTGTCACCTTGGGATGCTCTTTCCACTGTCACTAATGTCATCACGGCTGCACTTAACACTCTAACACTAATGGAAGTTTCCAACTTTATTATGAATATTGACTGTTATAGTCTGCAAATCGCCTTAATCTTTGACTCTGTATGTGAGGTTCATAGCAGCCCCGATAAAAAGGCAGAAAGAGAATTATGACTTTCATTTTCTAAATTGGAAACTTAAGACTGGAGGAGGCAGTAGCTAGCAAACCTCCTATATACTAACATGATAAAGACATCAAGACTGGATATCAAAACTCTCCGTTTCGGGACCTCTGCCCTTACTTGAATTCTGTTTATTTGAGGATTTCTTCATTTGCCTTATGGACTATTAAAGGTGCTAATATTTCAGGGCAGTAAAAACCCTGCAGCCACGTGCAAGGCTGACCTGGGAAGCCTCATTCTCAGCTAGAAAGCCACCTCACAGATGAAGCGCTGCTCCCGGGAGGAGACTGACATCTCCTGTATGTTTATGTTGGCAGTTCAAGACAGCTGGCTGATGGCAATTGACAGTAGAGAGGTACTCAGCAACTGACTGTTTTCATTTCAAAACCTCGACCTTAGTTCCAAAGGCTAATTTAAACAGCTATCTATATGGGTATAACTGCAAAAGAAAACATTCTGCCTCCTAAAAGTATGTTTTAATATGAATGTTAACTAGTCAGAGCCCAGGCAGTCCTCATTTCACGAGACAAAGGGGAGTAACCCCAACACATTCGGACACCATGGTTCAAACTGAGGTCTTCTGTAGAAATAAGCAAATTCCTTAGTATATCCATCAAGGGTTACCTTCACTAGCCTTGTTACACACATTATAAAATAGGATTGATGCTTTAAGAGTAGCCTGTAGTGCACACCTCCCGCAGAAGACCTGGATTCCATTCCTAGGGCCCACATCAGCGCTCACAACTATCTGTAACCCCAATTCTAAGATATTCAACTGCCACTTTTGTACTCCATCTGCACACACATTACACACATATGTACATGCAAGCAAATACTCACACACATGAAATAAACAATTCTTTAATTCTCTGGCATCTCAGAGACTGTACGTTTACTTACCTTTAGATCTGGCTTTCGTATGGCTCTGTTTATGATGTATTCCTCATCTGTAATGAGAGGGTGGTCAGGAGTGAGACCAGACGTTCTGCTCAGTGCTGACAAGGAGATCCACATTACCTTTTTCCAAGAATAAATTTTGAATTCATCCTGGGGAATAGACATCAAAACCCCCAGGAAGTTAAGAGAAGTCATCAGGCTAAAGTTCATCCTGCAAAATATCATTTTGTATAATGTTGTGAGTTATGAAGCTAATGAACATTCTAGATGGAAATGTATATCATTAAAAGGTGACACACAAAGCCTTCGGGTCTTGAGAGACAAAGATTTGTGGTCATTTATTGAGGAATCTGAACAGAAATCCAAGGCACTAACACAAAGACCAAAGCCAGAGAGGCAGAGTCACATTCTCAGACGAGACAAAGAGAGAGAGTTTGCCATGACCTTTCAGTCCAGCTGGCAATTTTAGTGAAGAAAACAAACCTCATGTATTTCAAGGGACTGTATGTTCCTGTGAGCATGAGGACATCTAATGAATGGAACCACCCCTGTGTTTCAAGACTGAACTCAAAATCCACTTTTCCTTGAACAGTCTCACTGACACACCCCCTTCAAGAGAAAACAAAACAATTTCTAAACTATCATCACAGTGACTTTGGAAGGTTCTCCAGTCTCATAGTTCTCCTAGATCACACTGAAGTAAGAAACAAGGTTTCCTGACTGTAAGCTGGCCTTGGTGTGGTGTCCTGAGACCCTGCTCAATGAGAGCACAGTGAAAAGCTGAAGAACACTGGCCCCATGCATCAATTGTGCCCAGAGGTAACTGACCTATTCAGACAGATGGGATGGAAGAAGGGCCCTTACAGCATGACCCTAAATGAAGTCATTTCCTCTGCAGTTGACTGACGTATTCCTCATAGAATGAAAGTAGGCATACAAGCTTGGGGAACGGGTATCACATAGCTCCCTTGGAGACTGGTGTGACCCTAAGATCAACTGCTATCTGAAAGATAAATAGGCACCCACTTGATGTCTGATAAACCTTGGGGGCTAAGAGTGATGATGATGATGGAAGTCTAACCCAGAAAGTTAACGACTGGGAATGTAGATCAGAGCTGAGGTTTATCCTCACCACACACACACACACACACACACACACACACACACACACACACACTTGCCTTGAAGATACCTGAGTTAATTGAATTATGCAAGAGGTAGCAAGAAGAAGCTGCAGTAGTTGTACCTGTGTTTGCTGTATTTGTTATCACGAAGAGAAAACTCCTCTTTCCTGCTATTCCCTGGGTCAGGAACACACTCCCTCACTCCTCTCCTTGGTAGTCACATAGCTAGAGCCTAACCGTTCTTCAAGGTCCAGCCCAAAGGTTCACATCTTGGTAACCATCCTGATTTCTCTGAGTGAGCTTTTTTTCTACATTGTCAGCGTAACTCAGGATCCTTCCCCCCTCCCTGCCCCCTGTCCTTTGCCATCCACCTATCAACATGAGGAAGTGGATTCAAGGGTGGCAGCATTAGGAAGGCTGAGAGCCACTGGTCTAGAAGGTCTGAGCTTTTGATACCTCAGTCTCGTTAAACAGGTTTACATCTTTGCAACAAAAGAATTAACCTGATCAATCTTTGAACCTCAAAGAGCAGATTTACAAACCATTGAAGGATGACTCCCAGAAGTTCAAAGTACAGAGAAGACTTGTGTTTGACCTGAGCGGACAAATCGAAGAAGCAGCATTTTTTTTTTTAAATTCCTGTAAACTCATCCTTTTGAGCCAGGAAATACCACTTTAACTTTGATAAGTAAATAAATGAAGTGGAGTCTGTTCCTTATCATACTCCAGACTTTTCCTAAAACCACTTCAACTCTTGGAGTTTAAAAGCAATATAATTGCTCTCCAGTTTAGGCCAGTCCTATGATGTCCGTGACATAAGAGTTTGCCCCCCCCCCACACACACACACACAAAATGTGCTTCTGAGCTTGCCTTAAGATCAAAAGTAATCTGATCTAAAGGTCCAAAGAGACATTAAAAACAGAGGACTTTTCTTAGAGGTGAGTTCAGTACAGTATAAAATAGTGACCTCTACCGCTTGGGTGTTTATGATAGACTTGTCTCATCTTCCCAATGATACTGAGCTCAAAGAGCTGGCATTAGCTGGAACTTTGGTTTTAGTCAGAAAGTATATGGAGAATGTCCTGTGTATTGGAAGAATCATAGACTGACCAGTTCTGCCAGGACACATTGACCAAAAAGGACGAGGAACAAAGAACCAACTTATATGACAAAGGGGTCTGTGTGAAAGGAAAGGGGAGGAGGAGAAGGAGTGGGGAGAAAGAGAGGGGAAGGAGAAGGAGGAGATGGGGAGGAGAAGGGAAAGGAGGAGGGGGAAGAGGAAAAGAGGGGAGGAAGAGGAGGGGGAAGAAGAGGAAGAGATGGGGAGGAGAAGGGGAAGAAGGAGAAGGGGGGAGGAGGAGAAAAAGGAGAGGGAGGATGAGGAGGGGAGGAAGAGGAGGAGAAGGGGAAGGAAGAGGAAGAGGGGTAGGAGAAGGGGAAGGAGAAGGAGGAGAGGGGAAGAGGAAAAGAGGGGAGGGAGGGGGAAAGGGGGGAGGAAGAGGAGGAGAAGGGGAAAAGGGAGGAGGAGGGGGAGGAGGAGAGGGGAAAGGAAACCCAGGACAGCCCAGCGAGTCTTTGGGGTTTTGCTGGGAGTTTGGGCTTGTTTGTTGTTTTTGAAGTGGACAGCATGTCTTGGGTAAACTAACTAATCCTCCGCAATCTCTGGAGCTGCAGGCACCAAGAGTTAGCTAGCTTGTGGGCATGCCTGCTGCCTGCAGGCTCCTCGCTAGTACTCCAAAGACACGCACCACCCTGTTTAGTCTACACAAGGAGGAGAAACTGTGGAGGCCTCACTGTCCTGCAGAGGCAGTGAAGAAAGTGTTAAGTACCTTCGAGTTATGGAATAAATCACACACACCAAATTCACATGCTGAAACCCTAGAATTTCCAGTCTCTTTGGAGATGGGGCCTGCAGGAGGCGACTAAGGTTAACTGAGGTCACAGGTGGCACACAACTCCGGTAAGCATGATGTCATATGTGATAAGGGAAAGAAAGCAGAAGTGTGAGGAACCAGAAAAGGCTAGGTGAGGAGGTGAGGACGTGACAAGGCCCCACCAGAAACCAGCCCTGCTGATGGCCCTGTGTTCTAAAGATTAAGGCCCCGAAACTGTTTGTCAACATTTGGTCATTCCTCAGGGGCCAGCTCTGTCTATTTCAGGCTGGCTGTCTAGTGAGATGGAGACTGGGTCTCAGGAGAGGGAATCAAGATGCTGTACCCTCCTACCTTCCCACACAGCTTTTTACTTTTGTATCTGGAACCAAAATATGAGTGGGAACCATAAGATTATTTATTATCGATTCAATTCCATTTATTTAATTTAATACAGTACTGGGCACCTGCTGTGGCCATGTGCCACAGGTACTATAAAGGATGAAAAGCAAGCCCTGACCTCTCTCTTCACAAAGTTTATAATCCAACAAAAGGAAAGACGTCATAAGAGCATAGATTGTCAGAGCAATGAAAGAAAGACCTACACCTCGGAGAATCAGAAGGCTCAGGTTCAAGCTCTTGCCCACATGGGTTCTTCTATGTGGATCACTCCCCATGTGTCTGTCCCCGTCGGCCACCATCACTTCATGACTCCTATTTTTAGACCTCAGAAGAGTCCTTCCTAGATTTTACCTGGTTGTGCCTCTATTGTGTAATCCTGCTGTGACCACGAGTTTTTCCTTATTAACCTTCTCAGTAGTTTCATATTCATTTGTGGGGTAATCTGATGAACTCCATGCATCCTGTCTTTATTTGTCAATGTGAACTCCCCCTGCCAAATACCTGCCCCTGAGCTAGGCCTGTGGCCCACATCAACTGATGCTCCCAGAGTTTATGTAGGAAAGAAAAATGAATGGAGAGGCTCCTGTTGCCTCATCTCTGAAATGCAGATGATAATGACTGTTTTCCGGGGTTGTTATGACAATTAGAATAACCACAATAGAATTCTATACAAGCTGGAAAGTGGATAGTCTATTAATACAGAGTAGATTCCATACCAGCATGACAGTCAGAAATGAAAACAGAGAAGGAGGAGAGGCAATAATTGCCTCCAGAACTGGACAATAAATACGATAAAGACATACGGGAGAAGGTGGTACAGCGTTGAAGAATGAGGGCGTTTCGGTAAGTGAGATGGAACACCCCCTTTCTAGGCTCTACCCAGGGGCGAGGGCGTCTCGCTAGAATGTCTCTTAATAAGGACAGGATTTCCATCTGTCTGGTCACGGCCTAGGTCTGGTACTTGTTTGGAGCTTGGTAAACACTTACTGAATGACCAAATGAACGGATGAGCAAACAAATACTTGAGCAGTTCTCAGAGAAACTTCGTGGGTGAGAGCAGAGGAAAAAAACCAAGTGTCGTGCTGGAGTGGGAAGTGTGGGCTCTGAGAGACCACCTTGTGGAGCAGGAAGCAGAGAGAGGGGGTCTGTAAGTAAAAGCAGCACTACTTACAGACAGCCCTGCTGGACCTGTAGCTCTCAAGATGGCATTTGCATGGCTCCTTTGTGGAGTTTCTGAGATTGGCGCTAAAGCCAATTCCGTTCACTGGAACATCACAATGAGGTGCCTTGATCTAGGCCTCATATCTAAGCATCACAAAGCTCTCCTCTGCGGATCAGGGGCTGTGACGACATGTGACACACAATGACAATGAAGGGGAAAGTGTGTCTGTAATTATAACAACGATATGGAAATCACCAGGAGCATTTAATTCACGGCCCCGATGAATGTAAATCATGTTATTTGCATAGAAATGAACCCTGCAGAAATGGGTTAAAATCCACAAATAGATAAATGATGAATCAAATGCATTTTAAAATTTATGAAATAAGATTGTAATTACACTCATCTTTTGGAAAAAAAGATAAAAATCTCGTGCTTAGCATTGCTTAATAAGAAAAAAAGAGATGAAAATAAGCTGAATACGGAGAATTTCCAGCGAGCACATCATGGCTTTTTATGTAGAGAAATGACTAGTTAATCAGTATCTGTGATAATAAACTGTAATCTTACCGGCTTGAGATTGATGATAAATACCAAGCACTGATTTTTTAATAAGACGAAGAACAGATACACAATGCATTTTCGGGTAGGAGTCACTCCGTCCTCTTAATGGAAACTTGTTAGAGTCTAGCTATTGCAATATAATTCAAACAAAATCTTTTAAGTTGTCGTTTTAATGCAATAACCTAGCAGTAGACTTTTAAACTATTGATGCTGAAAGCATCTTTTTCTCTAAGTCTCAGATAGTTCGAATGTTGGAAATAATTGAGTTCTTGTCTAATTACATAAAGACCAATTTAGTAGCTCATTTATTTGGAGAGTCTCTGGCATAGCAAATCCATTTCAAATGACACATAAGAGCAGGTAATTAAAAATTAAAGTTGAAATCAAGATGGAAAAGGCAAGATTGGAGAGAGTTGAGGCATCTCTGATTAGTTCTGGAGGGCCAGGGGGAGGGGCTTGATAGAGTCTGATGATTGAAAGAAAGGGACTCCATGATGGGTGTAGCTCCCAGACCTACTGGTGAAGTTCTGGCTCTTTCCAGGGTATATCCATTTGCAAACACAACTACAGAAAATCTAGACGAGACCACCTGGCTGGTGAGGGATAGGTCTCTAGACTCCTAGTACCAGAACATCTGTTCCGTGCACAGGCATGCTAGGCCCGCTGGATGATGAAGAAAGTACACATTCAGATGAGCAGATGTGCCTTGACAATAGTAAGCTCTTGTGAACAGAAAGCTTCTGAGGGTTCAGGAACAACACACACACACACACACACACACACACACACACACACACACACACACACAACACTGGCTTGGATGATCTACTTCACAGTTTGTAAATGGTTTCACTAGCCCCATTTTACAAATGGAATAATCAAGGTTCTGAAAACCTGGTAACAAACTTCCAGAGCTAGGACTGGAAGTCTGGCTTTTGACAGCAAATCCCACCAGGTCCCATGAGCCCATGCACAGGCGCCTTCTGGCTGTTGCTTGTTACTGCTCTTCTGTAGCCTGAAGGTTTCTGACTACACTCTTCCTCCTCTCTGTTTCTTTTAACCTGTTTGCCCCTCCATTTCCTTCACTTTCCTACTTACATTTTCCGTTTCCTTGCCCATTTCCTCTTATTTCCATCTGTGTCCTGGGCCTGTGAGCAGCATGGGGGGAGGGGCAAGGGCTGGCCAGCCAAGAGTCCTTCAGAGCTATAGGGGGAGGGCTCCTCCACTTCTGGGGCTCTGCTCCTAACGCAGCAAGAATGTTGCTGTCTGGGAGCCAGTTTGGTGCCATGTAGAGTTAAATCCCTTTCATGCTACAGGATCAGCCTTATGGGTTCACACAGATCCTGAGCTGGCTATGTACCATGATGGTGGAATACTAGCTGACCACATGCAAGGCACTGGGCTTATCCTCACCACCATAAAAAAGGAACCCCAAGACTCTTAACAGTCAAATGTGTTGCTATTCTCTCTTGCTGCATAGAAAAAATATTTATCTAGAAAGATTGGCACAAACAAAAATGTGTTACACTCCCATAAGAGCAATGGTTCTCTGTGTCCCCCAATATATTGTATCCCCCAATATATTGTACACCCTAATAACTCTCTGACTCTTTTGCCTCCCAAGGGGTTGCCTCGCCCAGCCTTGATATGAGAGCTCGTGACTTGTCTTATTGTAACTTGTTATGCCGTGTTTGATTGACACCCCAGGAGGCCTGGTGTTTTCTGAGGGGAAACAGAAGAGGAGTGGATCAGGGGTAGGGGAAGAGAGGAGAAGGAGGGCTGGAAGGAGGAGAGGGAGGAGAAAAGAAGGAAGGGATGTATTGTATGAGAGAGGAATACTTTTTTTCAAAGGAACCCCAAATGGTAGTTTTTCATGAACACGCAAGGCCCCTCATTCAGTGGCCCAGAAAATACAATTGCCTTGGTAAGACACTCAGGCTATGTACAGGAAGTCCACTTCTAACATTTGGCTAAACCTGGATTTTTTTTTTCCTCTTCATACTGTATAAACATCTATGGCTGAGTCATAGATCAAATATCCTGGTCTCTATTTCTCTCCCAATGAACAAGTGAACTGATAGATACTAGTTCTGACTATAGCAATTTTTTTCTCACTGTTTGTCCTTTGCCGAAAGGTCTCACAACACCTGAAGGCTTCTTAAAGACACACATTCTTGGGTTGAGACCCACATTCAATAGATTGGCAACTCTGAGGGGTTGGGGGTTGGAGCTTGCAATCTGTTTCCGCAGGCCCCCTAGATCACTCTGATGCCAGGTGAGATTGGAACAGAAGTGGTCTAAGTGCAATGTAGTGGGAGCAGCCCTGGATGAGGGCCTAGAATACAGAGGACTTCGTCCTGTCTCCCTTTCTATGACTTTAGGTACAGTCTGCCATGTTTCTGGGACTCTACTTTCTAATCCATCAAATGCCCAGTGGTAAGTGCCTGACGCTTTTCTCTCCTGAACATTCTGCAAGTCTTCATGATGTGAGCCTTGAGGTAGAGCTCCAGTTTAGTACCAAGTAGTCCTACTTACCACACAACAGCCTCTTCAAGTCTAGAAGTTTATTCTTCGAGAATATCTAGCTAGATTATAGTCGAACCTGAGAGCTGGTCCCTAAGCTACCGCTCTATGTATCTTGTAGTGATTTGAAGGCACCAGGATCCAGTTAAAGGACGGGGCTGGTTTCTAGAACACAAGCCAACAAGGACAAACTTGGTTGGACTCCCAGGTTAATGAAAGGTTAGCTCAAGCTGTGTGGGATAGCAGGATTCAGTGTGGCATGTTTGGGTGTTTTCGTTTTGTTTTGTTGGTTTCATTAGGAGGTGGGGAGCTGTTTGATTCTGACTGACCAGCTGTCAAATGTTCTGCTCTTCTCTTGCTGCATAGATAAAATATTTATCTAGAAAGATTGGCACGAATAAAAATGTGTTACACTCCCATAAGAGCAGCGGTTCTCTGTGGTGATATATTGTGCCCCCCCCAAAATATTGTGCACCCTAATAAACTTATCTGGGGATCAGAGAACAGAGCCAGCCACTAAATTAGACATAGAGACCCAACAGTGGTGGCACACACTTTTAATCCTATCACTCGAGAGGCAGAGATCTGTCTGGATTTGTGAGTTCAAGGCCACACTCGGAACAGAATCAGGCGTGGTGGAACACACCTTTAAAGCCAGCACTTGAAATCTCATGTCTTTGCTTGGGAAGGACACAGGCCTTTAATCCCAGGAAGTGATGACAGGAAGCAAAAAGGTATATAAGGTGTGAGAACCAGAAATTAGAGGCTTTTAGCAACAGTTCAACTGAGAACCTCAGGGGTAAGGACTCAGAGGCTTTCAGTCTAAGGATTCGTAGAAACAGGATTGGCTGAGGAGTTGGTGAGGTGAGGTTGGCTGTAGCTTGTTCTGTCTCCCTGATCTTTCTGTTTCACCCCAGTATCCGGCTGCAAGTTTTTTCCATTAATAAGACCTTTTAAGATTCATGTTACAGTTCTCAACCTGTGGGTAGCAAACCTTTGGAAGTCTAATGATCTTTTCACAGGGGTCACATATCAGGCATCCTGCATAGCAGGTATTTACATTACAGTTCCTAACAGTAGCAAAATTACAGTGATGAAGTATCAATGAAAATAATTTTATGGTTGGGGGCTCACCCCACACAAAGAACTCTATTAAAGGGTGGCAGCATTAGGAAGGTTGAGAACCACTACAAAAGAAGTTGATTTATCAAAATTGGTTGTTGCCACAGGTCATGTGTGCCAATGCCTTGTTAGAATAACAGGGTTAGTCAGGAAAGAATCCTCCAAGAGACTGTCACTTCGTTCCCTCAACAGGAGTACCATGTCCACCTATCAGTCACCCAGTACAGATGCTGGAACTGGGAGTGTATCAGTTAACATATAAGCTCCCCTTCTGGACCTGGCTTTCCTGCGGGGGTGGGTGGGTGGAGGATGATACATGTGGTCTCAGTGCCATGAGTGCCACAAGGAAGTGACATGAAGCTAAGCTGGAAGAGCCTCACCTGATGCCACAGCCTTGAAATAGCAGATTGGCAATGACCTCAGTGACAAAAAGGTTGCATTTTATGCCCTAGTGTTTCTGCAGAACAGGACACAAGCATATCAAAATCTATAGTTCTCCTCATCAGTACAGGGAGACAGCAGCTTCCTCAGAGGGATGCTCCTCATCTCTCAAACTCCCTTGTCCCTTTTCCAGAGTCATTCTTGTGGAGGCCAGAAGCATTTATGTACCAGGCTTAAAGTCAAGGGTTGGTAGGAATTTAGAACTAGTGGCTTGTAGTCTTGACTTAACTACTCTACATTACCCGCTACTTCAGCAATCAACATGTTTATGTTGACTCTAACATTTGCTAAAGTCACAATTTAGAGGGACTACCCTGTGAAGTAATTATCCTTTAGAAATCCTATTGTAGACAAATTTCTGGGTTCTGGACAGGTATACAGTGATGGAGGAGCCTACCCACGTACCACCTGCCTGGGAGACATCTTACAACCCAGTGTCCCAAAAAAGGGACACCATCTACAAAAACAGATGTATACTTACAGTTGTCTTCAGCAACACCACATCTGCTTCTTGCAGGGAACATGGGACACAGTTTGCCCACACATGCCAAGCTGGTCTCCAGTAAAACACCAAAGGGAGGATTCCGAGAGAGAAGATGGATCCAATGAGACAGAGAGCTTTCCTACAGCGTTGAGTCTGGTAGCCAAATATTTCCTGAAATGGAACAGAAAGGATTCCAGGTGTTGGTCAAACTTGGAACAAACACTACTTTTAGGGATGAAATGGAGGTAGGGAGTGAACGGTCTGGTGAGGGAAGACAGGCATGGGGGAAGAGAGGGTAGAAAGAATGAGGTCAGATTCCTGACCAAGAAGTTTCAGACGGGATTCCTGACCTCCAAGAAGGAACCTGTTAGTCAGGAAAGGCAATGTCCAATCACCAAGCTACCCTGGGCTACACATTATCCTGGGTGCTCAAAGATATGATCTTAAGTCTCCCCAGTCACCCCTACTCCTGTGTCATTCCTAAAATGAGATAATACTCCCCTCATTGAACAAATAATGCAAAGGAACTCAAGGATATACTGTCTTGTCCAAAGCCACACATCTGGAAGCTGGCTAAGTCTTGGGCAAGCCCAAGTCTGTCAGCTACCACACCTAGAATTTGGTTCACAATTGTTATAAGCATGAGCACAGCCATGTGACAAGCTGTGGATACCAGCTGATGACAGTAGCCACATGATACCAACAACTCCCGGGTTAGCAGCCTCAAGAGTGGTTGAAGCAGGAAACAGGCCTTGAATTTAGAGCAGTATTTAATGAAGGAATTTGACCACAGGGGATTAGTGGCCAACTTGCTTTGTGGTTCTGCTGTTTGCTCTGACTCCCTTGTTCAATAACAAAAGAATTTTCTACCCAAAAGGAAATGCCGTGGAGATCATTTGGTTGTTAAGCAGGTCTTTCATGCTGTGAAGGATGATTACTCTGCCCTGAAAAATACACATTGAAAGAGGGGTCTCATCTCTGATATTTGATAATCTAGACAAACTTCCTTTTGAGAACCATCTGGGGCAGAATAGAAAAGCACTTCTAGAAGCAAGTGGCCTTGGACCCACAACTGTATGCCACAAAGTCAAGGTAGAACTCATGCTTGTTACAATGGCTGAAATGGAGAGGGAGTGAGTGTGCTGGGTAAAAGCACAATAGGACTGACTGAGACACTTCATTTTCAGAAATCAGTGTTGCCCTTTGCTAGGTGTGTGAATATTAGTAAGCTATGCAATCCCTTTGTCACACACACACACCCCAAAATTGGACAGTGATAGCACAAAGTTACTGTAGGGTGGAAATAACTGAACATGTGTAAGTCTACATCTGAATCTCTCCTGCTGCTGCTGCTAATGATGGTGGTGGTGGTGGTGATGATGTTGTTGATGATGACATTGATGATGCTCCTGCTAGCATTACTATGACTTGGTGCCATAGCCCCAACACAGACATGAAAATCTAAGCCCTGATTTACAGGTAATTAGATCCAAGAATTCCTAGTGATAACCACTGTGCTTTTGTTAGTCTGTGTCTTAAGGTAATAACTGCACTGAACATCGGCGGGGCGTTTACCCACCAACCTCACAATTCCCCAGAGTTTTCTTGAGTGCGAGCAACAGGAAATATTAGATAAAAGGATTTAAAGTGTGGAGATAAACAAAAAGAAAATACAGATAGCCTAGAGAGGGCCTGGAACCTATTCCAATGGGCTCTGACTGCCTCTGCCCTAAGGCATTTATAGAAACATCAAGGGCTTGAGCAAAAGACCTCCCCTCCAGCACAGCCAAGAACAAACCATCTCAGACACCTGCACTCAGGCCCGTGGACCTAATTATCCTCTCTATGAGGACCTGCTAGGTAAAGCCACAAGGAACCTGAAAACAGACTCCCACAAACATCAAACTTGACATCACCAACTTCTCTATCTCATGTGACGAAGAAGACTACATCAACAGAGAAGGGTCTATGACTCTTGGCTGCAAGGTACTCCAGTGTGTAATTACTAGATTCCTTCCTAGCACACTAGTGCAGTCATGGGAGATGAAGGGCAACTTGCCACGTTATCCAATTCAGTATGACTTTTCTGAAATGCTCTTAACTCATTTTACAGGGTAGACATTTACCCTTACATGATACCTCTCTCTTGAAGCTCAAAGCTACTGCTTTCCAGCTGCCAAGACTGGACCAGCATGGCTCCACATCCAACCTGCAGCCATGCTTATTAATCCCACTCTAACTGATGTGCCTCCCTGAGTCTTTCCCATGTCCTCTCCTGGTCCACAGCTTTGCATAGATCGACTTCTACTCCCCAGTCTCGTCATTCTATCACTTTCTAAAAGTAGTGTTTAGATGTTTTCTTATATTGGCAGGGGAGCCACGTGTCATTTTTATGAGTTACTCTGTGCCAATGTGCCAACCTCTCTGTTAGTGTTTGAAAGTGTCCTCATGTTCATTATCAAGACAGTATATGGTGATATTTTATTTGTACTGAAATGTAATTTTAATTTTATGTTAATAAAGTTGCCCTGGGGTCAGAGCTATTAGAGCCATAGCAAGAGCGTGGTGGTTAGAAGAGCTAGGTAGATTTCTGTGTGTTCAGGGATACAGCCAGTATTGGAGACATACGCCTTTAAGACCTGGAGGGCGGTACTTACAGGCAGTGATGAGGCAGTCATGTGGTTGGGTTTACAACCAATGAGAAGGCAGAACAGAAAGAATATTTAAACACGGACAAACAGGAAGTAGCTCTCTCTCGGGGAAGCTAGGAGCACTGCAGGAGGTAAGATTTTATCTCTGAGCTCTGACCTCTCGGCTTTCTCTTTTACATTGGCTCTGTGTTTCTTATTTTAATAATACGATTGGTTACATCTACAACAGTAAGCAGAAATTAGTATCTTCCTTCTCTAGTTAAGAAAGCTCAAGTTTAAAGTTATCATATATAATTTTTTTTTTTACCTGTAACTAATAATTACTGAGATCACACTGCTGCAGCTAACAATTCTTGGGCATCTTCAAGTCTCTCTCTATGCACTTTATAAACATCCTCTTACATAGTTGAAAAAAATTAAATATATTTCCCAAGGCACAAAGCCCAGCATAACTCAAAACTGATTCTGCAACACAGAGAGAATAGGGTGAACTGATGTTTCTAATCAGTCCCTTCTTTCTCTATCCTTAATTTCAGTTTGACTTAATGTAACAAGTTTGTTAAGTGTTATCCAAATAGCAGACATGTGGACCATGACAGATGTGAATCAATGTCTCTAGTTTATAAACACTAGGTTACAGGGGGAAAGAGACAGAACTGTAAGGTTAAGCAAAGTGGAACGGAAAGATCCACAGCGGGTGGCCAAACCCCTTATCATCCAAATGCGGTCCTGGGTCCTGTCGTTGGTGCCATCACTAACCCCAGAATAACAAGAGTAGACAGTGACGCTGGCGAGGCAACCCCATCCGTTTCTCTTAGGCCACCTTGGACCCCCTCTGGAGGACACTGCCACTTCCCCCGAGTGCCTCATGATCTGTGATACACTGTTAAATTTTCTGTAGAAAGGGTCAAAAATTGTGCACAAGGCACGTTCAATTGTTGCTTGTTGAAATAAGTTAATTTCACTGACTTGAAGTGAATATTGTCTGACCAGCGCTATTGACAGACAGGGGTGTAAAGGTTAGCATGGAACCATCATCGTCACCTGGTACCAGTTTGTTTCTTATGTTATGGAGTGTCTGCCATATCTATGAATATGCTTGAAGCAGTTGTTCTCCCCCCTCCCCGTTCCCCAACTGCTGTCACCTCCCACAGAAAGAGATTGATGAGCCAAAAACTGACATTAGAAAAATGTCCAAAATGTATATGCTATACAATAACCAACTCATGGCAGGCTCCAGGCATCACAGAACAGCACTGCATTGCTCTCCTTATCTTCCCACCCATGCACTCTTCCTCACAGAAACACAGAAACACATACACACACCTCACGGGGGCAAGACCCTCTTCTAGAAGGCTCATGAGGCCACCTCAAGCTGATCATCTGGAGTTCACCCTCGGAAACATATCTGTGGGCCTGACACAGTCAAAGACTTGGTCGATGCAGAATTGTGATGACACAAAAACATGAAGGTGTAAGTGAGAGTGACATCTGGAACAGGACAGTGGCTATCTCCAAAGAATCTTCCCCGTGTGGTGTTGTCCTGTAAGGCCCCAACAAGTCCTCAGGGTAGCCCTCAGCCTAGGAGTCCCGGGACCTCCCAGCACACTGACCCCTCATAGGAGGACTCAAGATCAGCAGATTTCAGAAGCTGAGCATGCCAAAAGAGGGCAATAAACGCAGCTGTCATGCTCACCAGGAAAAAAGGTGTGTTAACACCGAGAACATGTTGCTTTCCAATAGCACCATTTCCACAGTCAGGATTTTCCTGTCTCTGGAGTCCAGTGCAAACATGGTTCTTAAAATGGGCTCTGGAATCTTTCTACTACCATCCCTCAGACTGATCATTATGCGTCTCCTTTAAACACATTAATTTATTCAATCATATTACAGTCAAATCATGCTAGCCTAGACACCTTTGCATCTCTCTGCAGACTTCATTAAGCATTTGAAAGCTTTAAAAAAAATCAAATTTTTAAGACTTTACCTCCCTGAAGATAATCTCTTTCCCCTTATTTCCAAATGTTGGGTGTGAAAAGAATGCTTCACTGTAATTTGCACGTGTTATAGTAGTAGACCGTGTTAAGTGTCTGTGACTTTTCTCCTCACTTCTGCTCTAGGACCTATAAAAATTCTGTCCTGGTAATTTCTCATTTACTACTCTTAGGCAAAAGGAGAATTCCACAGGCTTCTAAGCTAATTTGAAGTTCAGATTCAAGTAAGAAACTCTCACCAAATAGCCTAAGCCAGGAATTTGGAGTAGGGGTGGGGAAGCGAGAGGGGTTTTTGTTGTTGCTGCTGTTATTGCTGTTGCTGCTGAATTGGTAAACAGTCTTCAGACTTTAAATTGGTCCCCCAGTTATTTTCACATAAAAATTATCATGCAGACACTGTCTTTTGAAATACACCTGAAATTGTGAAAATATTATCCCCAGATTTTTACACTGTAAGACTCAGCAGGAGATCATAACAAGATATGCACGAAATAACCCAAACTGTCTAATGAGTGGGGATGTTGTG